TAGTGTTTTTGGTTTTCTCCGCTTATCACTGTTCCTGAACTAACAGCATAGAAATTAAAAAACTTTTCTAGGTCTTATACTGTCTGATGGTTTTATGTATTCAACATCTTTAATATCAACTAAATTATTATAGGACAGAAAACCCATCACAACAATTAACATGAACTAATGAGCCTAGAATATGAACTATATAAATTCACTGTTCTCAGCAGGGCATGGTGTGTACACCTGAAATCCCAGCAGCTCAGGAGGCTAAGACAGGAGGATCTCAAGTTCAAATCCAGCTTCAGCAACACAAAAGAAAGTCACTGCTCTCTCATTCACTTTTGTTATTATTAATCAGCCAGAATAGAATATTTCAATATTTTTAATGTCATTTAAAATTGCCGCAGTCCGGCTGCAGCAAAGTAACCGGGGGGGTGACGAACAACTTGTGTACATTGATACAGCAGGAGTAGGAGCTGTTTATTGTAGGACAGGAGGGGTATATATACATTACACACAGTTTATCTTAATTAACATAAACTAGATACAGCAGTCAACCAATAAGGAATCTCCACACTTAATGGCTCGCTGGCGTTACTTCACAAACCACTTCCCCTGGCAAAATGCCAGGCGCCATCTTGACTTGTTTACAGACCCTAACAAAAATTTTTTTTTTAGTTGTAGGTGAACACAATACCTTTATTTTATTTTTTATGTGGTGCTGAGGATCGAACCCAGTGCTTTTTGCACACTTTCGAGCTCTCTATCACTGAACCAAAACCCCAGCCCAGAATATTTCAATAGTTTAACAACAAGGATATGCATGCTAGTGTAGACAAACTAAATTTTAACCTCACTTGGAGGTGAAAACTCTGGTAATACTTATCCGAGCCCTGAATCAAACTCTTTCTGGTAAACACAGTCTCTTTTGTGAGTCTTTAACAGACTCTGAATTTTCCAGAAAGAGCAACTACCGTGTAAAATGAAGGAAGCTTCTATCATGTTTTGTTAGAAACTTGGCCAAGGATTATCTACCAGATCAGAAAATCTAATTGACCATGGTTCTTGGTAATTAGACACCAATAAAGCGCGTCTCCACCACGTTAGGAACTGCCAACTACTGGTGTAAATGTCTGGCTACCTCCCTGGGTTCTGGAGATGTAGAGATACATAGTATAAATCATTCTCCTTTTCTCTCTCTTTATTACAGATAGGACAGTAAAGGATTTTTTTAATTGCTGGGGATGAAACCCAGGGCCTTGCACATACTAAGCTACACCCCTCAACTAAGGATTCTTTTTTAAGATAGGTCTCTATGTTGCTCAGGCTGGCCTTGAACTCCTGAACTCAAGTGTTTCTTCTGCTCAGCCTCCAGAGAAACTGGGCTACAGGCACAGGCTGCCATGACTGGATAAGGATCATTAGCAGTGGATTATGTTATCTATGAACTTCATTTCAGGAAAACAGAGTTTACCGAGAACCTGCACTAGAACCAGCACCCACTCTGGGGTAGTCACGCTCATGGCTGACATTAATTCATGGATTAGTGACCCATTGGTAAATGGCCCCACCATGAAATCCAGCTGTTGGTATCCTCCTGGTTCTCCCTGGAGACTCCAGGAACTCCCTCTTACCCAGCTGCCTCAGGTTCTCACTGGGCACAGTGGGAGAGAAGCAGGGCCCGTGTCCCTGAAACTGCTGGGTAGACTAATGTTTTTGTCAAACAGTAAACATGTTGTGTTTCATCCTTGGACATCACAAAATATTTCCTTTAAAAAACAGTGACTTAGCAGGGCTCAGTGGTGCACAACTATATTTCCAGCAACTCAGGAGGCTGAGGCAGGAAGATCACAAGTTCGAGGCCAGCCAGGGTTCCCTAGTGAGATCCTGTCTCCAAATAAAAAGGACTGGGGATGTGACTCAGTGGTAAAGTGCCCTTGGGTTCCATCCTTAGTACCAAAAAAGAAAAGTGGTGGCTCATATACAAAATGCACCTTTCTGCATACAGCCCACACCTGTAAAGCCCCAGCTGTCTGTCAACAGGTGAGCGAATACAAGCTGAGTGCATCAGGCAATGGGACACCCCTCAGCAACAAGCAGAGGATGAACCACTGTTATGTCCAAGAACAGGGGAGGTCCCCAGAGCATCACACCCAGGAAGAGAAGCCAGACGCTGAAAGCTACATGCTCTATGCTTGCATTAATGTAAAATTCCAGAAGAGACGAAATGAACTCAGAGTGACCCAAGGCAGGTCAGTGGTGGCCTGGGCCTGGAGGTGGAGGGGGACTGCATAGAAGCACGAAGAAATCTGGAGGTGATGGGAATAGGGTATATGGTTGTGGGTGGTTTTTTTCAGGTGTATCCATTCTATTAAATCTGCCAGGCACAGTAGCACATGCCTGGAATCCCTGCAGCTCAGGAGGCTGAGGCAGGAGGATCTCAAGTTCAAGGCTAGCCTCAACAACTTAGGAAGGCTTTAAGCAACATAGTGACAGCTTGTCTCAAAATAAAAAGGGCTCAATGGTTACGCACCCCTGGTTTCAATCTCTAGTACCACTTGAATGAACACAGCTCCTATGTGTCCCTGGGCATCTCTGTTAGATTGACCTGAAGAAAAGCAGATGGGGTCAGGAGGAGTCCAAGAGGCCTGGAACCATTGACCTGTCACCAGGAAAGCAGGGTGGTTACCTTCTGCCCACCTGCCTACCACACTGCTTCTCTAAACCTTGAACCCAGGTCCAAGCCCAATCCAGGGCCAACTGAGCCCTCCCTCCCAAGCTAGCCATCAGGTGCCTTCACTCCTTCACCAAGTGGCCTTTGGGAGAGGCATAGCAGAGCCATTGTCACCAGCATGAGCATTGGCAGCACTCGCCCACAGTCATGGCTGGCAGGTAGTCAAAGTGGGGCTGAGCCAGCCTCTGACAGACAGGCAGGACTGGAGCCCCACACCTCCTTATTCTGCAAATACTGAGCACCTACTATGTGCAGTGCCATGGCCTATGCTGTCCTCTGGGTACACAGAGTGGACAAGACAAAGGTTGTACCCAATGAAGTGCGCATCCTCTTGGAAACGGCAGGAGGCAGTAAGCACAAGGAGTAAGTTCCCACGCACGTCCCGCACCCTGTGGAAATGGAGTTCCTCTTCGTGCAGTGAGCTTCTGCCACATAAAGCTAAGAGAAGAGGCAGTGAGAAGGCCACACTACACAGAATCACTTCAGAAAGTGGGGGTGGGACAGCTCTTTGACCTTCCACACTGGGAAGACAGCCAGCAGAGCCCGCATTTGCTTCATTATATATGGGGAAATTTCAAAGGTTTTCCATGGAATGTTCTTCTAAATAAGGAAGGAGGTGGGCTTCCAGGCCCAATGGGTCACGCCCAATTCCGGAGCCCTGAGAACTGTCCCACTAGTAGAACAAGGGCAGAGATCTCAAGCCTTGGGCAGTCTACACCAGAGCACCAGGATCATTCCCAAGGGGACACCTAAGTCCCCCCATGGCTCGGTATGGAGCAGAGACCACTCAAGTAGCTTCACAGGTGGCGCACCACAGTAAGTGGATTATGTAGCATGTTAGGAGGTGACAGGTGCTGTATTTAAAAACAAGTAGAGGCCTGGGTTCAGTTCAATCAGTGGGGCACTTGCATGAAGTAGGATTTCAATCCCCAGCATCACAAAAATACATGAATAAAATAAAACCAAATAGAACAGGGCAGGTGTGGGTGAGTGAGGACAAGAAACCAGGAGGAAGGTTGTAGGAAAAAATAAGGTGGTCGGAGAAGGCCTCATTGAGGTGACATTAAGCAAAGGTGGGAAGGAGGTGAGCAAGGGGCGGAGTAGAGAACCCAGGCAGAGAAACAGCCAGCAAAAGGCCCTGAGGCAGGAGCAGGCCTGGTATGTTCAAGAAATAGGGAATGTCCAAGGGGGAGAGTGGGAAGACATGCTGTCAGTGAGGAGGGGAAACCTTTCAGGGGCCTTGTGGGCCATGGTGAGGGCCTGGCTCTGTCTCTGAATGAGGCCAGCAGCCATAAGTGGGAACCGGCGCCCTCTGGTGGCTATGTGGGGAGCAGAGGAAGAGGGGAGCGTGAGGTGGGGCAAGGAAGGTGGCTGGAATGCTTGAGGTGGGAGATGACCGCAGCTGGACTAGGGTGGCACCCAGTGCGGGTCGCAGTGGAGGGAACCTGACTTGGTTCTTTTGAAGACAGAGAAAATGGGATTGTGACGGCCTGAGTGGGAGACAGCAAGAGCAAGAGGAGGGTGTGGCAGGGAAGGCGACTAAAGTGGCTTGTCCTATACTTGACTGGAGCTGGGCCCTCCCACCGGCAGTGGCACCTGCACCCGCACCTCTGGGCACTCCCAGGGTCCACCAACACCAGGCCAGCGCCAACCCCAGGGGACCAAGGGTCCCCAAGCTCTGTGATGGCTGCAGCCGTCCCCTTGGTGTGCTGCCTTGCCCTGAGTTCAGCGGCTGCAAGGTGCAGGGCCACCTGGGAGGGGTCCCAGTCTCTGGAGGAAATGGCAGAGGGAGTCCTGCCACGCCCTTTCCGCAGAGTCACTATTTCAGAGATTTAGAACTGCAGTAGGGCGAGGCGGCCGGGGACGGCGGCGGGGGCAGGTCCAGGCAGAGTGGGCGCAGAGGGGCCCCCAGTAAGGCCAAAGCGCTGGGGGACATGAGCCGGGGTCCAATGGAAAGGCGTCTCTGGGACACGGCGGGTGCCACCGAGAGAACCGAGAGGGCCAGAGATGGGACGGAAAGGCAAAGCCCGGGAAAGGAGCGGCCACACTTGGCAGCGCCCCCCGTTACTGTGTTACTGTTTCAACAAGCCACTGCGCCCTGGCCATCTTGTATCCTGCTCTTCTTTGCTGAGCACAGAGAAAACCCCTGAGGCCCCGGCCGCTAACACTGCCGTCTTTCACCCAGACTCAGGCTGATTTCATTGCAAGACAGTGCACTGGTTTCAAAACTTTTTCAAAAATCATTGATTGAACGTTTTCTGGCCCTAGCACTGGAATAGTCTAACTCCCAAGTAGAGGGTGCAAAGAAGGATCCAGGAGGGCATGGGTGGCGGGCAGGAACCCCGGCTGGGCAGTCCCAGGCCTGGTTCTTTCTGCTTTGCTGCGACCTTGGAAAAGCACCTTAATTTCAGCAAGCCTTGGTTTCCATGTCTGCAAAATGGGAACAGCCACAGAGGCTACTTACTCCAGGGTTGAGATCATTCAAGGAACCCTGCATTGCAAGCTTCTGGTATAGACTGGGGCGCACAGAGCTTACTCCATGAAGGGCAGATGTTACTGTTATTTATAATTACCATGGAGAAGCAGGGTGGTGGTGTTTTAAGTGTGGATACATTTGAGCCAGGCTGAAGAAGTCCAATTTCAGTTCTGCACCTGATGCCGTGGGCTAGGGATTCATCATGTCTGAGGCCTGTGCTCCATCCCTGGCACTGCAAAAGACAGTAGGGGACCGAAATACTTGGAACCATACCAGAGCCGTGTTTAGAGAAATAAGCCTACAGGCAGAATGCTCTTAGTAAGAGTAATCTATAAAGGTTAACTATAATTATTATTATTTTTTAGTTGTAGATGGACACAATATCTTTATTCATTTATTTATTTATTTTTATGTGGTACTGAGGATCAAACCCAGGGCCTCACACCTGTGAGGCAAGTGCTCTACCACTGAGCCCCAGCCCCAGCCCCTAACTATAATTATTAACAAAAGTTAGAGGCCAGGTCTGGAGGAGTCTTAAGATCCTATCCACAGCAAGGTTGGAGAGCCAGGTATGATGGCACACATCTGTAATCCCAGCGAATGGGAGGCTGAGGCAGGATTGCAGGTTTGAAGCCAGCCTCAGCAAGTGATCAACCAATGGAGACCTGTCTCAAAATAAAATATAAAAAGGACTAGGGATGTAGCTCAGTGGTTAAGCACCCCTGAGTTCAATCTCTGGTACTTAAAAAATATATATTAAATATATAATTCATTTTATATTATATATGAACATAAAATTCATATATAAGATAAATTATATATTTATATATATTTAATATAAATAAATTTTTTATCACATATTCAGTAAGGAATACTGAGGTGCTTATAATCCATCCAGTAATTTGAAAATAAAAACTTGACATTTCTGCATTTGTCAGGGTCCAGGACTGAAGGGGGGTGTGCAGCTCAGCATGCACATGAGTGTTCAAGGAGAGTCAACTAATAGGTCAGGCCGGCTAACTGCTGTTCATTGGGCATTGGCGGGACCTGGGCAGGCTCTGATAAAGGAATAAATCTGCTAAAGGCAAGATCCTGGGCCCCTGCTGCTGGCTTTCTGGGCAGAACCATCCTCTGGTGGAGTCAATCTGCCCACCCGGCGAAGGTGGCTCTCAGCCTCCGCTACAGGAAGCTCCACGCGAGCATCGGCCATTACTGAGACCAGGGCAAAGGCGTGGCTCCTTGTGGTCCACCATGCAGCCTGCGCATTGGTTTCATTAATGAGGTTCTTGGCATAAAAGTTAGCTAGCAGAGATCGAAATAAAACACACAGACTCAGTTACCTTTTTCTATGACCAGGTCCGAGAAGGCTCCCCTCTCTGGCTCCAACCTCGAACCACCCGTAGGGGAGCAAGGATTACTCAGGGCTAGCAGGAGAGAGAGAGAGGGAGCACGCCAGGGAGTAGCCTTTTATTGGGGAACAAGAAATTCAGGGGAGAATTCCATCCAATGAAGGTTGAGGGGGGCCGCACTCCAAGGTCAGGGTCAGTGATTGGGCCCCCAGGGTCAGTGGTCAGTCACACCCCCACACAGACGGGTTCTCTCATCAGAAGAGGGCCGGGAAAGTTCCGACACAGCCAGAACGCCTCAGACCCAAACCGGGAGTCGCCCAGTCACGTGTGAGAATGGCTCTCCACATTGTGGCACAGGGTGAAGGCACGTCTCTAAATGCTTCCAGGATTGGCTAGAAGATTAAAGCTCTATAACAGCTGAGCACGGTGGAACACACCTGTAATCCCAGTGGCTCAGGAGGCTGAGACAGGAGGATGGAGAGTTCAAGGCCAGCCTCAGCAACTTAGTGAGCCCCTCAGACCATGTGGTCACTGATGGTTGAATGGATTCCAGGGAAATTTTGCTGCAAGATTCTTTGTCCTACTGATCAAATCCCCCAAGTTCAGAATTTGCAGATTTTATAGCAGTGAAGGCACCTTCCTCACCTGATTGTCCCCAAGCACTGTTTGTTTATTTTTTGGTACAAGGGAATGAACCTAGAGGCACTTAACCACTGAACCACATCCCCAGTCCTTTTTATCTTTTATTATTTGTTGTTTGTTTGGTCCCAGGGATTGAACTCAGGAGCACTCAACCACTGAGCACATCCCCAGCTCTTTTTTGTATTCTATTTAAAGACAGGGTCTCACTAGCTAAATTGCTGAGGATGGCTTTGAACTCACCATCCTCCTGCCTCAGCCTCTTAAGCCGCTGCTGGGATTACAGGCATGTGCCATTGTGCCTGACTCTTATCTTTTATTTTGAGCCAGGGTCTCACTAAGCTGCTGAGGCTGGCTTTGAACAAGCGATTCTCCTCTCAGCCTCCCAAGCCGCTGGGACTACAGGTATACACTGTGCCCAGCTCCAAGCACTATTTTATTTATTTATTTATTACATTTTTTTTTAATTATACATGGGCACAATATCTTTATTTTGTTTATTTATTTTTATGTGGTGCTGAGGATCCAACTCAGGGTCTCACACATGCAAGGCGAGTGCTCTACCGCTGAGCCACAACCCCAGCCCACAAGCACTATTTTCAACAAGAAAAACAATGTACCCCCGCCTCTTCCAAAACCCCAGCCAACTTGCCCAGATATATTAAGACACTCTTAAACTCTGAGAGCAACCTGCCAAGGGTTATGGCATAATAGAAAAAATGTAAAACACCAATTACCTAATTATTCAACACTTAGACTCATTAGTGGCTGTGTGCAATACACATCATATATGAACCCCATTTCCCTTCCAAACTGCAATGATCATGGGATGTAACTAAACCAATAAGATGTCCAAGATCCCCAAGATACCATCTGTGAGTGGACCCAGGTTGGTGCAATCGTAGGCACCAGGCAGAAGTCAACACTGACTCCTCAGTAGGGGAAGATAATGTCATTGTGTAAGCCCTTCAGCGTGCACAGGGAAGGTGATGAGCACCCAAGCTCACACGGGGTTTCGATTCAAATGGCAAACTTTAGGGCCAACTTCAATAATCACCTTAGTCCCAGCTACTTGGGAGGCTGAGGCAGGAGGATCACCTGAATATGGGAGTTCAAGACCAACCTGGGCAACAAAGTGAGACCCCATCTCAAAATAAAGAGAAAGAAAAAGAAATTTGGGGTTAAAAGTGATTGTGTTGGAACTATTTGAATAGTGAGAGTTCAGATATCAAGGGATACCTGCATTTCGGGTAGGGGGTTACAGTGGAAAAGGCATTTACCATAAGATGTGTAAGTTTTGTTTTTTGGTTTTTTTTTCCAGATTGGGCTCAGTGGCGCACAACTGTAATCCCAGCAACTTGGGAGGCTAAGGCAGGAGGGTGGCAAGTTCAAGGCCAGTCTCAGTGATTTAGTGAGACTGTCTCAAGATAAAGGGCTGGGGATAAAAAGGGCTGGGGATGCAGCTCACTGGTAAAGCTCGCTCCTGGATTTAATCCCCAGTACAAGAAAGAAAAAAAAAATATTGCAGTGCTGGGATGGAACCAAGGGCCTCCCCCTCCCACTGAGCTTCACCCCATCCCTGTACAAGATTTATAACTGAGGGTGTAGAATGCACCAATCTTTTTTTTTTTTAATCAGAAATTGAACCCAGTGGCATTTTACCCTGAACCACATCCCTAACCCTTTATATTTTTTGAGACAGGGTCTTGCTAAATTGTTTAGGGCCTCACTAAATTGCTGAGGCTGTCCTTCAACTTTCAATCCTCCTGCCTCAGCTTCCCAAGTTGCTTAGATTAAAAGCTGAGCAATCTTCCCTTGCATAGAGACAATAGCTTATTCAATTGATTTGTTCCAAGATGTTGGCAATTATGAATAAAGCAGCTATAAATATTTATGTATTACCAGACCTGGGAAGGGCGTGGAGGAGACCCACGGGTGCAGCTGCACAGGAGAAATAACTTATAACATTCTACAGCACAGTAGGATAACTATGGTTGACAACAACTGAACATTTCAATAGCTGAGGATTTTAAATGTTCTCAACATTAAGAGATGATGTAGGGGCTGGGGCTATAGCTCAGTGGTACAGCATTTGCCTTGCATGTAAGAGGCATTGGGTCCGATCCTCAGTACCACAGAAAAATAAAAGATACTGTGTCTAACTACAACTAAAAATATTTAAAAGAAAGAAAGAGAAAAAGAAATACCCTTCAATACACAGAATCACTATATCAACATTAAAAATCTCTAATAGCCAGGCACAGTGGCATACACCTATAATCCCAGTGGCTCAGGAGGCTAAAGCAGGAGGATGGAGAATTCAAAGCCAGCCTCAGCAACTTAGTGAGCCCCTAAGCAATTAGTAAGAACCTATCTCTAAATATAAAATAGGGTCTGGGGTTGTGGCTCAGTGTTAGAGCACTTGCCTAGCACATTGAGGCACTGGGTATGAGCCTCAGCACCACATAAAAATAAATAAATAAAGGTATTGTGTCCATCTACAACTAAAAAAGTTAAAAAAAAAAAAAAAACTATCATAAACATCTGAGTTTTTTTTTTTTTTTTTAAGAGAGTGAGACAGGGAGGGGGGAGGGAGTGTGGGGGAGAGAGAGAGAGAATTTTAATATTTATTTATTTATTTATTTTTAGTTATCGGCAGACACAACATCTTTGTTTGTATGTGGTGCTGAGGATCGAACCCGGGCCGCACGCATGCCAGGCGAGTGCGCTACCACTTGAGCCACATCCCCAGCCCAACATCTGAGTTTTATATAAACAGAAGTTTTCATTTCTCTGAAATATCCAGGAGTGTGATTCCTAAATTGCATGGTATCCATTTTAGCTTTATAAGACATTGCCCAAGCTGGACATGGTGACACACACCTAATAAGCCCAACAATTTGGAAAGCTGAGGCAGGGGAATTACAAGTTCTAGGCCAGCCTCAGCAACTTAGCAAGACCCTGTCTCAAAAAATAAAAAGCACTGGGTAGAGTACCCATAGGTTCAATCCTCAGTATCAAAAAAACACAAAAACTTCAAGTAGAAAAAAAAAAGAAACTGCCCCGTTGTTTTTCTCTGGTGGTTTTGATGAACAGATTTTTTTTTTTTTCCAATGAAGTCCAGTTTATCATGTTTCTGTTGTCCGGGTTAGTGCTTTTAATCAAAATCTGAAAATACCTGATTAAATATACTTGACAATTTAATTGCTAGAGAGTGTCTTTTGGAGTGACAATATTTATTCTTGGCCTTCCCCCAGGGGATTCTTGGAGTATTTGTACTGTGGAGGAAACACAGGGTCTGGGGACTGGATGGAATGTACCATAGAAAGTTCAATGGTCACAGAACACACGTACACACACACACACACATCCCCCACACACACACTACATCTACAGCCACAGCCCCCAAAATAATCAGCAACACCTGGATAGTGCGCCCTCGCCCTCGAAGCCTGTAGAACTCTACAAGGTGATCTACACGGAGGTGGGAAAGGCCAGGTGGATCCGGATGGAGCTGGGTGCAAAACTATCACCTAGGGTGGGGGACAGGAGTCGAGGAGCAAGGGGGGGGGGTGTTGGGAGACATGCAACACAGGCACATACCCAGCAGTGAGGCCATCCAGTCTCCTGTCTAGAGCGAGGCAGTGGTGCTTGTCTCCTGGAGCATGCACGCAGCAGCCCCCAGCCCCAGTGTGTCCATTTATCCACCCCAATGTCCAGGGTGCCCCTCAGCAGGGCAGGCAGGTAGTTACCTCCAGGGGTTCACATCACTGACTCCTTCTCACAGGTGGCAGCATCCCTAGGGGGGCCCTGATACTGTTTGAGGAGGGGGTTCCCTTCCTCAATGGCAGCTGGCAGTGGATTCGGGGGCACCTCACTCTTAAACTGGACCAACTTGGGCTCCATGCTCTGTATCTTCGTTCGGTCCACATAACTCTGGAGGAGTCCTGCCCCAAAAGCATCACCTTCCACATTGAGGATGGTACAGGACCGGTCCCTAAAAGGTAGAAGTGATAGAGAAGTCAGAGGGAAGAGAGGAGAGGCCAGGCGCCAAGGCCCAAGCTGCCTGCCTCCCCCGCTGGGATCTTCCAGTTCCCCAGCGCCATCTTCCTTCACCCTGCCCCTCCCAGAGCTCATGTTCCCATCTTCTAGGATCCAAGTATGCCCTCCTCCTAGAACCTCAAAGATCTCTTCATCTAACCTCCAGGAGTCCCATACCTCCGCTGGGTCTCCTGGAATCCCAAAGTGTCCATCACATTTTTCTGCCTCTAATCCCCAAAAATCTCTCCCATCTGCCTCTGACCAATCCGTTTTTTTTTTTTTTTTAGTTGTTGATGGACCTTTATTTTAGACATTCATTTATTGGTGGTGCTGAGAATTGAACCCAGTG